ACACACACACACACAAGCACTCTTTCAAAGTTTGCAAAACCTCACATATTTTAGTTCCAGCTGACGGAGCTTCTACTTTTTTTTTTTTCCGCGTGACGGCGAATACTAACTGTCGTTTAGCCATCTGTGCCCACACATGACACAAGCTCCTAATTTCACCCCGTTTACGCGTTTCTACTTGATGAGAAATTTCCTTGAGGTACTGAGCGGTCTTGCGCTTTAAAAAAAAATTTTTTTTTTTTAGGCGTTCAATCCGCAACCCCCTAAAACAGGGGTGCTCAACTCATTTTTGTCGCGGGCCACATTGTAGTTACGGTTTGACTTGGGAGGGCCGTTATGAATTTTGGAAAACCATATAAATGTATAATCACCGCACAACAAATTGATGAATAACTCGTTTCTAAAATCAGAAGTCAAGAATAAGGACTGTTTGTTGTGCATTACATGTGACAATTTGACATTTTGGTTCAGACTTGAGCAAGCATCATGGAAGTTGACATGCTTGATTTGCTTTCGCGGGCCACATAAAATGATGTGGCGGGCCAGATCTGACCCCTGGGCCTCGACTTTGACACCTGTGCCCTAAAATATGACTCTGTGTTAACTACATTTTTGATATTGCAACCTACAGTATGCAAAGATTTGAAGTGCTTTGAGCTTTTCTAAATACAAAGGATGTGGACAAACTCGACTGTTTCATTCATCCCAAATGATGTCTGTTTTAGGCTGCAGCAAAACAAATTCATTCTGTTTGTTTCAATGGTTTGTTAAGATTTCCTCAAGCTTTAGAAGACGTCGTATATACTTGTGCGAGTGTTTCTCGTCTCCAAAAAGATCCCCGACCCCTTTACGTCACGAGTTTGTGTTCCACAGAGGTCGCCAGCAATCAAAGTGTACCGAAGCATTTCCCAGAAGTGACAAATGACTTTCCGCTCGGCTTCACGGCCCCACCAGCAAGCCGTCTGACTTCTATCCGGTGGGGAGCGGACCCGATCAATCACACGGATGGATCAATGCCTCGGATTGGACTGTTGCGTAAACCCCGCTTGATGAGGTTGCCAAAATAAAAAAATATGCATGCGCACGAGGTGATGCTTGCGTGACTCTTGACTGAAATGGAAATGATCTTCAAAGACTGGATTATGTTGGCTGAGTGCGGGTGTCAAGGAGCATTTAAAGAACGTACTAATGTACAGTACTTGCACATTGAGAGAACATAGTACTGCACAGGTTAGATTGCAAAATGAAAACGGCATTTTCCAGAAGACTGCGCCTCCAAAGCACAAAAAAAACCGCAAGCGCTCCAACCACATCATGCATAACATTATTCAACGGATTCCACTCTAAAACGACTCCAGTGTCACCGCACGTGCTGACTGATTACAGGTAGCGTGTTAAGCTGCTTTTATACCGTAATGGCCCGAATATAAGACGGACCTGATTATAAGACGACCCCCTCTTTTTCAAGACTCAAGTTTGAAAAAAGACTTTTTGAACACCAAATTAATTTTTATACAGAAAATAATTACAGTACATCTGAAACATATGATTATAACAATATATTTGAGAGAAAAAACATCTTGAAGTTTACACCATAACTTCTCCTTAGCTGCCGGTTAACCTGGCCGATCTTTGACCCACTTTTCTCCAGATTGTCGCTACGTTTCTCCATTTTCTGTTATCTCTTCTATTATTTTCTTCTCTTTTCTTTCTTGCCGCTATTTTTTATTTTTCTTCTTCGTGCTACCGCTATTTTTATTTTTATTCTTCGTGGCAGGGGTTTACTTTGGCCTGGGGAGTCAAGTTCAGCATTCGCTTCATTGATATCTGGCGGCATCTAGCGTCGTGAATGGGTATAATGTCTAGACCACGAATATAAGACGACCCCCAATTTTTTCAGTCTTATTTCAACGCAAAAAAACACCGTCTTATATTCGGGCCAATATGATACTTTACTTGACAATGGTTCAGTTATTGTATTGCTTCTGTGACAATTTACAGCATTTGAGGTCATTTAAGCGTTTTATTGTGATTCCATCTTCACATAAGCAGCAGTCGTTGATTTACTTTTACACTTGTATGAGCCTTAAAGTAGTGTGTGTGGAAGTATATTAAAAAAAAAAAAAAAAAAAAAAACATGAGTTATTTCAATTTCCATTTCAAATTGCTCCAAAATCCAAACAAATCACCAGTTGGACCTTAGAGGAAATATTGCAATATAATGTATGCTCATTTATAAAAAAAAAAACATCAAAATAGCATAGCGACCAAAATATAGGCTATATGAACAGAACAAACCTCTCACATTTTGTCAAAGAGTTGCCAAGCAACCTTCCTCTGTATTTTGCCCAACACGGTAGCAGTCTATTAATTCCCAAAACATGGATGTGAAAATGTTTCAAATGTACTGGAAATGACTTTTTTTTTTTCGCAATTCATCCTTCCTCTTTCAGTGTGCAGATCTCGTTATTTCCTTGAGAGGCGACAGCGCCTGCATTTACTGCAGTACGTCGCCATCTGCAGGAAAGCAGCACAACATACAGAGAGAAGCACACCACCTGACAACCGAGGAGGACAAATAATGAAAGGTGCAGCAAAATGGCTTTCTTCATTTCTTGTCTACCCTAGTCGACTGCCTTCCAGCCATTCAAGTGTGCAATAACAATTAATCTGGGCATGGTAACGTTACCGGCGCTGGGTATTGCGGCACGTCTGCATGGAAGGCAGCAGCATGTACCAATATTGGAATTAAATGATTTTTGCGCTGTAAAATAACCGACACAAAATTTGACGGATGAGCTCTGTCGGGACGTGTTTGCCAACAACTTGTTCTGACAGTGTCCACGTGTCCAACCTTGACATGCAAATATTAGTGTTGTTTGACCTGGACGCGGAGTTTAAAGATAAGCCAACGAGTTTTGCAAACAGGAGGAACTCCTACTTTCCCCACTTTATAAAATATTCCCTTAATCCAAACATCAAGGGAGTCTGTATGTGATTCTTACCCTTTCTGCGATCCTGCGTCCACCAATGAAGGGAGGCCAGAGTCTCTGAACTTCCAGTAGGACTCCTTGCAGATAATCAGCATCCGTTAAAGCTCGTCGACGAGTTTCCTCCTGAACAAGTGAAGGTTTTGGATCGTGTTTAGAAAGAAGGATTAAAAAAAAAAAGTGTTCATGGATTAGTATTTTGCATTTGGCTAAGGTTTGTGTGTCGCTGTTGGATGCGCGGGTAAAATGACTTGACGGCATGACATCGTAGCACGGCAACACAGTGCAGTGAATTTAAGAGTGATCCATCCAAGCCCGGGGGCCAGATCTGGCCCGTCACATCATTTTATGTGGCCCACGAAAGCAAATCAACCAGGTCAACTTTCATGACGCATGCCAAAATCTGTACCAAATTTCAAACTGTCATATGTAGTAAACAATCATGTTGATCTATTGCAAGCATTTTCTTGTTTTACATTATTACAGAAACTTGAACAACAGTGCAACAAACTACTCTCCTGTCTGGACTTTTGATTTCAAAAATAGTTAGCTATTAATTGTGTACTGTATATTTAATAATATGAGAAGGTGATTCAACATTTATACGGTTTCACAGTCATCATGGCCCTCCAAGGGAAACAGTGACTACAATGTGGCCCGCGACAAAAATGAGTTAGACACCACTGCATTAAACAATCATTAACAATGGCCGACATCCAAAATTACGTGTTCGTTCTTCTTGGTATGTGGCTGTTCATGTTTTTTTTTTCCTCTTTCCTGCCTGCATTGCAAGAGAACATTATCTGTTGACTTATCATCTCACGGTAGGCTGTCCAGCTCCACCCTGAAACTGCACTTATCAGATGTCGGTACCCTTGACAAAATTGAAACACTAACTTTTGAGTAAGTGAATCAAACTGTATTGCTTGGTGGAATCAGGGTTTATGATAGCATTTTTAATCCATCCATCCACTTTTTAATCCAATTATCCTCACGAGGGAGGCGGGTGTGCTGGAGCCTGTCACAGGTGTCTTTTGGACAGTAGGCGAGGGCACACCCTGAACTGGTGGCCAGCCAAACCTAGGGATGATTTAGAGCGTTCCATTAGCCTGCCATGGACGTTTTTGGAATGTGGGAGAAAACCGGAGTACCCGGAGAAAACCCACACAGGCATGGGAAGCACATGCAAACTCCACACAGGAAAGCAGGAGCCGGAATCGAACCTCTGCATTGTAAGGCGGACGTGTTAACCAGTCGACCCACTGTGCCGCCAGCATTTTTTATACTGTACAAAAATTCCTAAACAAACCTACATCAAGACAAATCGCATGATCGTCTTTTTGGAGACGTTGCCACTTTCTCCATCTCTCACCTGCATTTTTTTTTTTTTTGTTTTGTCAATGTACCTTTTTACTCCCACTTAGAGCCACAGTGAACGAGGTGAGTAGTGACGCCAGCGCTTTGGGGATGAGGGCCGAGATGAACAGCAGGAGATGCTGGGAAGCACAGCTTGAACCGGGCAGTGGCAGAGAGCGCAGGGAGCCCACGAAACTGGAGACGGCGGGGTGAGAGCAACCGTGACAGGCCGCATTCGGGCAAAATTGACTTGACTTGTTTGTGACGCATCGTACACACCCCTGTGCTTCGTTCTCCAGTTTCTCTTTGATGATTTGCATCAGCTGGTCTCTGGCCTCCGAGGCCACGGAAAAACCAGATGACCACAAAGGCACCTTTACATTGACTGGAGCAGAGATGAGACCTGCAGCAAAACGTCTAGTCAGTTGAAAGTTCTTTGTAATCGACTTGAAAGATGATGTGGATCGAGCAATTTAGTGTAAAAGTCAACAGGCGAATAAAATTTTTATACAGTTAGTCTTCTGGACAGCAGAAAACTCACACCCGTTTGGCTGCTCACCTGCAGGACAACTACAGTGCCGAGTTATTTTTCAAATTTGGTTTCTCTTCCAACTGCGATATATCAAACTGGCAGTAAATTTGTGTGATTCAATATAATACTCAAATCACATTTTAGCTAACAGGCGAAGCATTGTGGAATTCTTTCATTTTCGTGGTTTTGTTGGAAGGATTGTGCCCGGCAAAAAAGTTACATCCAGTAAACTGCACTTAGGCTCTGCTGTGCCATACAGCAGAAAAAGGAAAGCTAACAGGAAGTCAGAAACGTAAATAGGAAATGACTAAAAAACATCATTTTGAGGAGTGCATTTTGACACATCAATGATGCAAAACAACCTACATGTTAATCGAAAAAGAAAAATGATGGTAACCATCGCGTGATATGGTGTGGTGTTTTTCGTTTCTTCCTGTACACCGCCACTGCGTCAAACATGCCCCCCCAAATTTTTTTTATCTACTGTCTTGATTGAAATTTGAAAAGGCTGACTAAGAATCCGGCTCAATTCGCTTATTTTGTCATTTTATGTTAAGTGTTCTTTTGATGGTGGCGCGGGCACCCGCAGCGGCTCCTCGTTGTCTTGTTGTCTTTTTAAGAGGGAGGAGATTTCATCTGTGCTGTCGGTCAAAACGAGCCGGGTAGAAATGTCCTTACCATGCCAGTGCTGAGTGCAGAGCTGTGCGATTTTCTGGAAAAGTTCCGGCTCCTTGTCCGCATGCACGTTAAGAAAAAGACCCAAAACCAACTCTGTCCCCAGCTGCTTAAATGCAGTATACACACAACGTGGCCCACCGCTGCACACAAACGCACAAATCAAGCATTGTTTGAGTCATGAATATTGGAAATTATAACAACAAAAAGTTTGTCAAGACCGAGGAAGAATTTTACCACTAGTGTGAGTGAAGGATGTTCAAATAAGCAACGCTGTTTCATCTTTTGTGATCTCGTAATCAATCAAAGAATACCCACCGATGTTGTGACACGCAAACTAACCTTAATTTAGGATTCCTCCTCCGCCTTGTGCTTTTATGAATTCAATTTCAGAAGCATGGCGAAGTGAAAGTTAACATCTGTACACTGTAGCTGAGCACATCAGGGCAAGAAGATGGAAGGTGAAGTGCTGTGTGTACGCAAATCAGAAGCTGTTCAGGTCTACGAGGGTCAGCCGTATTATGTGAGCCCCATCAATCGTTTTTTTTCCCTGGTTGGCTGTGCTGCATTTGATATGTATTCAATCACAAATATGTATTACCTGTGGGCGAGATCCTTGAGACGGTTTTCACACACACTGGAAAAAGAGGGGGAAGAAAAGGCCTGTCTCAAACACAATCAAATCACTTTTCCACGGTACACTTGCACGCAAAATGTATAAATGACATGAGCAGATTGTTCCTTTGAAAGTAACCACTCGTAAAATGCGTCGTGTTGTACTGTTTGAATAGTTTTGTTGAGTCATTACAAATTACAATATGTTGGTATCCTTGCATATTACTGATCATTTTGAGTGAAACTGCATCTTTACTGTATTACGTAGACTTCCTGTTTTTGAAAGTCTACTGTTCACCCTCAAGTCAAAAAGTGGAAGTCGCATGTTGCAAATTGCACTCTTTTTACTGACTGAATTCATAATTTCAGTCATTATAACCGTCCTGCGCTCATTTTTGCAAGAAATTAATGACAAATATCTACACTTTGTTTTTCTTTGTCTTTTTTTCCCCCTCTCCCCAAATCAGCTGCTCTCCCACACTTTCAAATCAATCAGTCTAAAACTGCTGCTAGGGTCGAGTGACACGTCTTTACCGACCTGGTGATGTAACCACTTGATGATTCTAAGCAACCTCCTGTAAACAAGCTGGTGAAAGACAGACGGAGAAGACAAGCCTCTTCACCTGCAAAGATGCAAATATTGATGTGTTAATTGTTGTTTCGCAAGTCATAGAACAATGTCATAGAGTCTTAATTTGATTGAATGGTGACTTATTCAAACTTCCAAGGCACAGGTGGGCATCTTATAAGCGCTGTTAGATGATGCAAGATGAGTGGCTCCATGCATGCAATTGTTTTTTTTTTTACCATTAGTGGTAACAATGGTGTCGCCGTACATATTGGTCATCACATCAGTGGGATCCTTCAGAAACACGTTGGACTTCTCTGAAACAAACAACAAATCATTATTGCACACATGTATAGGCGAAGTATAGCTCCTATGGAATCAGCTGCGGCACCATCACGAGTCTCTCCCATGACGGATCACGCTAATCTGTGAGTGTACAGTATTAGTGATGACAATAAACTTATTCGTGCTCTTTTGATCTGAGAACGTCAAGATAGGAGACCCCAAAATGGGTGCAAAGGTGTGATTGTAATAAAGCTTGAATACACTCAGAAACTACTGGATTGTGTTATTTTGCATTAGAGTGGCACGCAGGTACAGGTGCACTTACCGCACAGTAGCTCCTTCATGGCCCACGCCGAGCACACGAAAGCGGTGGGTCTATTTAGCAGGCGGCTTTGAAACACCCGGCTGCCGTGTTTTTCCATCTTCTCCCGGCAGAAGAGCACCGGGTCCCGGTAGAAGTCCAGCGATTTGTCCCCGAGCAGCGGCACACCTGCGTTGCCAGGGAGTTTTGACATAATGCAGGTAAGAGGAGGTGCGGGGCGGGGGGGGTTCCGCTTGTCTCTCGCCCAGGTAAGTCCCTTTCGCTGCTCCGTCTGTATGTCGTAAGGTCCTCTCGCTCGAACTAGAAACTCCAAACTTTAACAAACTCGGTTCAGCTTCGGAGCTTGCAGTTTGAAAGTCATTTTACCGAAGTGACCTGCGGGTCAAATTACCACCACTATTTTCTCAGATGGTGCGGAACGCTGTACGCAAGACTGGTGCGTTCAAGTGCCCTTGGTAAATTAGAAGAACGGTTCATGACGTTGCCTTTCACGACCACTTCCGCAGTGTACTTGCTCTTGCTTCAAAACAAACAAACACACACACACACACACACGCGCGCGCACACACACACACACACACACACACACACAGGTAGATAGATAAATAGATGTCTCCCAGTTGCCCTCTTTAAATGAATGTGTAATGTGATGCTGGCCTCTAGCTTCCTGACCTTGTCATTACATATGCAATGTGATTTCCTGTGCTGTGCCATACTGTACATCAGTGGTTCCCTACCCTTTTACGCTTGTGTACCCCTGAACGTTTTCGTCAAACCATGAGTATAACGCCCACTCAAACGTGTTGATGAATCTCGAAAAAAAGAACAGAAAACAAGTGATTTTTAAATTATTTTTTAGCTCGATTCCTGGTTTGGACATTTGAGTTTTAGGTACAGTATACCCCCTTTTTAACTCCCTCAAATGAAACATAAAAGTAAAATAATAAAAATAATTAATACAAATTTGAAAAGGCATCAAAGTAAAGAAAATAACTGCCTTTGTTATGCATAACTCTTGAAACAATTTTTACGCTTGTGTACCCAAACCATGAGGACAACTCTCACTGAAACGTGTTGATGAATCTCGAAAAGAAGAACAGAAAACAAGTGCTTTTTAAATTCTTTTTTAACTCGATTCCTGGTTTGGACATTTAATTTTTAGGTACAGTATACCCCCTTTTTAACCCCCTCAAATGAAACATAAAAGTACAAATGTTGCCTTGAAAATAAGTAATACAAATTAGAAAAGGCATCAAAGTAAAGAAATAACTGCCTTTGTTATGCATAACTCTTGAAACATTTTCCACAAAAAATGGAGCTCCTTTGAGAAGGTCCCCTTTAAATAGGCATTTAAACTTTAAATATCAGGAACGAAACACTTTCTTTTCATCAGTCATCTAAGCTTTAATGAGACACTTGAGCTGACACGCGGCTGTTGTGATTTTGGCACGTCTGTGTCACAGGTTATTGATCTTTTAAATACAGTAAATGTTTCCATTCTTAAAAGGCCCCCCCTCCAATGTGCTCACTTACCCCAAGGGGTACGCGTACCACCGATTGGGTAACTTTGCTTTACACAATATTACAACGTAATCATGGGCGTATTCGTGGCACATGTTTGACTGACGGTATTGCCTGAAAATACATTTTAGACAGACTGATATATAGATTTTTTAAATTATTTAGCCTTTAAATGTTGTAATTTGTTGCTTTTGAAATGCGCTAAATAAGTAAAGAAAGCTGCCATGCCTCGGTGAGTTGTGTGTCCCCCCTCCAATATGCTCACTTACCCCAAGGGGTACGCGTACCCCCGGTTGGGTAACTTTGCTTTGCACAATATTACAATGTAATCATGGGCGTATTCGTGGCACATGTTTGACTGACGGTATTGCCTCAAAATACATTTTAGACAGACAGATAGATAGATAGATAGAGTTTTGAATTATTTAGCCTTTAAATGTTGTAATTTGTTGTTTTTGAAATGCGCTAAATAGTAAAGAAAGCTGCCATGCCTCGGTGAGTTGTGTGGCTTGATCAAACTTGCAGCATGCTCCGCCCCCTCCGTTCTTCTACGTGTTGGGACTTGGTGTCTTTAACTTACAAGCATCCCGGAGAGAGGAGGGGGAAAAAAGTGAAGCCCTTCAGCCCTTTTTTTTTTGGGTCGTTCGGTAAAATTAAGCAGCCTCACAGCTACCGTGGGTCTGTCAGCGTTTTTCAAGACGTCAATCGGACGTCAGTCTGTTTTTTTTCGTTCGCCGTGTGGATGAAGTTGCGCGTGGAAAGCGAATGATCTTTGAAGCAGGAGCTGCTTAGATCTTACGAGGGAGTTGTCGGATATCTGATAAGGTTTCTGCTCTACTTTTTTCCCCCCGGTTCAACGCACGGATTACAGAAAGGTTTTTGTCTACGTCGCAAACTCAATCGAGTTTCCCCCAAGATCCCTCTGTTGGGAATGTTCGGTTGTTGTTGAGCAGTTCAAAGAGAGAGAAGGAACCTTGGTGTAAGAATGGCGCTGAAGGCCAGGGTGTTGTACGACTTCCATTCGGAGAACCCAGGGGAGATCTCCATTAGCGAGAACGAGCTGGTGAGTCTGTTCAGTGAGGAGGAGCTGGAGGGTTGGTTGGAGGGCAAGAACAGCAGAGGGGACGTCGGCCTCATCCCAGCCTCCTACGTGGAGATCATCAAGGATCGCATCAGCTCCAACAACAACAACGGGTTCTCCTCCCCCAAAGTTGGGACCCCCACCCATGCCTCCTATTCCCAGCGAGGACCTGAGGCGGGGAGTGTTGGCAGCGGTGGGGGCAGCTTCCACACCAGCCAGGGCAGCGATGACGACTGGGACGACGACTGGGATGACAGTTCCCCGGCCACCGAGGCCCCGAGGAGTCTGGGCACCTCACCCGCTTCCTTGTACCCGGTGACCACCACCCTGCCGGCCAGGCGCAGTAGCTCCCTGCAACCTCAAGCCAAGAGTTCAGCCACGGTGGGGAGGAACCTGAACCGGTTCTCCACTTTCGTCAAGTCTGGAGGAGAGGCCTTCCTTCTCGGGGAGGCGGCTGCTTTTGTCAAAGATGGGGACAGGATCTGTGTGGTGATGGGCAAGCATGGACCTGAATGGCAGGATGATCCGTACCCCTTTACGTGCACCATTGATGACCCAACCAAGCAGACTAAGTTCAAAGGCATGAAGAGCTACATGTCCTATGGCTTGACACCAACTCACACCAATGTTCAAGTCAACCGCAGGTAGGAAACGCTTCTTTTTTTTTTTTCTCTCCACTTCCTCTCACCATTTAACCGATGAAGTTTATGTGGTTTATTGTGGCCTAGTCCCCTTGTTGTTCTCAGCAAATGGCAAAGGCAGAGCCAAGTGTGGCCTCAGGAATAGCGTGCTTCCTCTCAAATTCCCCAGTGCACTTTTCTCCATTGTTTCTTTGTCTTTTTTTTTTTTTTCTTCACCAAACTAACAGTCTTCCCTTGCTAGTTTGCGGTTTGGTTATTGCGGCTTCAGTCTCTCATGGGGTTTTCATTTGTGACCATGACTTCATCTATTACAGGTTTACATCGGTATTTTGCCAGCTTCCCTGCTATTTTTCTTTCTTCTAAGTCGGGCTAGTCAAAAATTGTCTGACAGTTTGCACGGTAGTTCCTTGTTGACAAGTGTTATTACGCTGATTGCCTTGAAGCCAGACTCCTGGTGCTATTTATCATAACATCACCAAAATGTGAAAGGCACTTCCTTTGCCAAATGGGTCATCCCACAACCTAGTTGCAGGGCTCGTGCTAGAACTGTATGTCCTACTATTTTGCTATCCCAAAAGGGCTGCGTGGAATAAAGGTCATTAACAAACTTCTCAAAAAAGACCTGGCACTTGTGTGAACTGTCATCAGATAGCAACTGGACTTTTTGTTTCGGGAATTCACAGCCAGATTTTCCCAGTGAATTTTGGCGGAACTCCATGCGCATATAACATCGTCACAAACATTCCCCACAAATCTCTGTCCTTTGCAAAAAAAATAAATAAATTTGAAAATCAGAATTTATTAGTCAGACTGTCAGCGGTTTAAATAAATTATTTTACATAATGATCCCGATGTTATTTAGAGAATGACAGAAGTTTGAATAGAAATAAGACGGTCACCGTGCGTGGTTAGCACGTCTGCCTCGCATTCAAGCTAAAATAATAATTTCAAGATACGGCGTTTAGCATTTTGGATTGACAGCCATTTTATGCACAGTACCTCAATGGCTCAGACATATTTCACCAAAGTGAGATGAGTAAAAAAAAAAAAAATCGGTCTTTATGCCCTTATGATTACTCACAACCACCATTTTCCTCCTCCCTTACAGGTACAAACACTTCGACTGGCTGTACGCTCGGCTGGTGGAGCGTTTCCCGGTCATCTCGGTGCCACACCTGCCGGAGAAGCAGGCCACCGGCCGCTTTGAGGAAGACTTCATCTCCAAGCGAAGGAAAGGCCTTATTTGGTGGATGAACCACATGACCAGCCACCCTGTGCTGGCCCGCTGCGACGTCTTCCAGCATTTCCTCACGTGCGGGACAGACGAAAAGGCCTGGAAACAGGGCAAGAGGAAGGCAGAGAGGGATGAGCTGGTCGGGGCTAATTTCTTCCTCACAATCAGGTATGAAGAGCTTTGCTGCTAGCTTGACATAGCACTCTTGTGTTAGCATCTGCTTTAGTTATATGTTGCTTTTGGCAATTCACAACAAATTCCTGCCAATAGTGCGTCCGAAAGATGCGAGTAAGAATATAGCGTGAGTCCTAAAACCAAAATCTCTCTCTTCCCATCAAGCACGCCCACCGTTCCGCTCGATCTTCAGGAAGTGGAGAGCAAGATCGAAGGCTTCAAATCCTTCACCAAAAGGATGGACGAGAACATTGTGGTCGTCAACACCACCATCAATGACTTTGCGCGCAAGCAGATGTCAGGATTCAAGAAGGAATACCACAAGGTCGGACAATCCTTCAAACTTCTCGCGCAGGCGTTTGAGCTGGACCAGCAGGCCTACTCGGGTGGTCTGAATAAAGCCATCTCTTATACCGGTGACGCCTACGAGGCCATAGGGGATTATTTTGCAGATCAGCCACGCCAGGACCTGGACCCCATTTCCGATCTGCTGGATCTCTACAGAGGACACCTGGCCAACTTTCCTGACATCATCCATGTGCAGAAAGGTTAGAATTTTTTTTTTCGATGTTCGATTCTGAATAGAACACACCAAGTTCCCCCAGATGGTCCAGTTTAGCTCGGGTCATCACTTGCTCTTCCAGCACAAGGCCTCGTGGCAGGCGGCTTTGAAGACATTTCTCGCTCTTTTGTGACTCATCGTGTTTGTTAAATGACACTTCTTGAATATCGCATTCTCTTGTCAACCACACAAAGCATAGCAACGCGTCTAGTTCCACTCCACACATGCACAACGCTCCTTCTAATATGGCTGGTAGCGCAAAGAACGGGTTCTAAAAAGTGCGATGGTCGGTTCGGATATTTTCTGACCCTTACCACATAACGGCATACTCAATTGAACTGATATGACTGTGATATGATGTGGTTCCCCCCCCCAAAAAAATTGCAAAAAAAAAAAAAAAAAGTGACCTTCTTTGATATCATTTTATTGTTCATGTGAACCCACAAAACATCGCATTCTATTCTTCCCGTGGCGGTGGCTTCCCGCGGGATCTGTCGAGACTCAGCAGTCAGGTCTTGAGAATATGACCTTGCAATCCGTAATATAAAACAACTGAAACAAGGCCTGCAAGTCTTTAAGTCAACAAACAGTGCTCGGTATGAATAAATACGTCTCCTTTGAAATTGGCTCAGTGAACGCGAGAATCATTTTTAGAATTTGGGTGTTGATTAAACTCGCAAGTGGTGGAAAACTTTATAATTCCGATCTGATATCAATCCAAAAATTTTTTTGCTAGACTTCCATTGTTGCCACATTTTTTTTCTCCAATGTTTTGTGCTTTTTTTGTGCTTGTAGTATGCCAGGATGACAAGATTCAAACTTCATGTTTTCTCGCAAATCTGTCGAGATGAAGTCCTCTATGTTAGGCACTCGATTTGTATCACATGGTTCCCCGAAACTAAATTTGTTCGGGGCCCCAGTGGTCAGACCAAATTCTTGTTCATCCTAAGAGTCTGTAAAATAATCGCAGTACAAATGACTCTTGTAACGGAACCAAAATAGAAATGAATGTTACTGTAATGAGCTGAGCGCCATCTGGCCCTTCACCTTCATTATTCGTCAATGAAACAATTTATAAGCAACACTCACAAACCCTGCGACCCCTAACTAAGCGCGTCATCTGTTTTCACTTGATGGAATTGCAAAGTCAGTGTGAGGAGAAAACTGATACCCACATTGAGAAAACTTTTTTTTTTTAAATATATATATCTTGAGTACTTTGAACGAGCCTGAAGTGAGTCACTTGAAAACACACGACGAGCACAACAAACAGGAGTTAGCTTGTCGGTTCCCCGCCGTATGGGAGGCGGGAGCCTCCGCTGGCATGCAAAGTCCTGACGTTTGCCAAACCTAGAGGCCCTCTTTCTATAGCGCACTGAGCTCTCTTCGCGAGATACAATTGCACCCTGAACGCCAGCAGTCTCCTGTGACTGATAATGCTTCCTACCCTTTGTGGCGGATAACACATTTTCTTATACTTTCTCCTAAAACGTTCAACAGCCGATTACAGATGTTGACCTCATTTAAGTCCAGGAATGTGCACTCTTGTTATTCCTGCCGTCTATGCTGCCAAGTAGAGAAACGAGCGTACGTTTATCCAACTCGACAATTCAGACGGAAGATTACTCAGAAGAGCGCAGACGTTTGCCAATGTAAAACAGTCATCGGCAGACAATACAGACTTGAGTTAAGGGAGCAGCGTATGTCCTTGTAACAACTGTTTTGAACTTTGAAAGCTTGGTTGTAAATTTAAACTGTTTGTAAGTTGGGGTTGATAACGCTGCAGTCCTGTCTTGTGGGGTTGTGGTGATCGCCTCGACAAACTAGTTGACAGTCAAAGGCGAAGAAGCATCTAAGGCCATCCGCTGTGGTTCAGAACTTTCGAGAGTGGCGTCCCAATTCGGGAGCTGCATTTAAAGACAACTGATGTCATCATGTTGATTCATCGACCAAAAGTGGCAATTGGATGAAAATCAGACATTTCTCCTTTTTGGTGTTTTTGAGCAACATCCACTGTGGAGCGTTGATGAGCTCATCTACACAACTGAAAAGTCTTGACTTTTTCCGACCACCGAGTTCCAACGAATGACGGATGGGTTTTATCATGATTAAAAAAAAAAAAAAAAAGAATGAAATCTTTGCTTTGCAATTAACAACATATCTGTGATATTAGGATCTCCAATATTGCTGAGCAATACTGAGAATACATCACAACATGCAGCATGTCAAACTTTATAGACCTAAATGTAGCATCAATCCACAGGTCCAAAGCCTAACATCTGATTTGAATGAGGCCAGATTCCTGGGCCTCTTGTCCAATGTTGCCCTGGGACTGCAGGAATGCAAAATAGAACAGTCTCTGGATTAGTTTTCCCCTCCTCCTCCTCCCACTTTTTTTCTCTCTTCTTTCCTTCTTCCTCCTGCTACTCTAATTTAAAGCGAAGAGATAGTCGTTTCCCACCAGCCGACGGTACAAAGAACACCGTTCAGCTGACCGGCTGGTAATCGGTGTGGCAGCCAAAGGTGCAAAGTCCAAGTTATTTCCATTTACGTGTGTAGATATCGTTTGCGTGTGTAGAAAATGATCATCCGCTCTTCCACTTACAACACCAGGTCACAAAGGTCAGCATGCAAACTGAGCTATGAGCTCGCTTGTGATTTCTTCTAGTTCGCAGTCAGCTCCACAGTTCCTCTTCTGTTTTCCATCCTTCACGTCTGCCAAAAATATTGTACTTCCCCCCCTTAAAAATTGAGTCACTAGACACTTTAAGGCATTACTCAGCACAGGGTAAGGAAGTATGTCTAGGGTGCAACTCTTTTGCTTTTCTTTTTTTTTTGGGTGCTGTTGTAAAAACAGCTCGTTTCTAGCTAGAATGGAGCTGCTTCATGGCTATTGGCTAGCTGGTGTTAAGATGCGGAACTGAAAGCTCTTGCTAGCTATTGACTGGGAACAGGTCTTTTGTTTTTGTAACAGTGCTATTATATTTAATGTCTTCCAGTTGTTACGCCTCCAGACAAAAAAGTTTACTTGTAAACTGGATGGTAGACAAGGTTGAGCTGATTGAGTTGCTTCATGGCTAGCTTATGCTGAGCTAGCTGCCGCACTGGACACAGCTTATTTTTTTACTGTAGCTATCACAAAGCACGGTATTTTCCTGTTGCCAAACTTCTGGACAAAACATATTTCAGGTCAAATTTAATTTTTGGCCAACTGTTGTGAAGCTAGCTCCTTGCACAGAAACCGCTAATTTTGAAATAAATAATTCTGTTCGATTCATATGTTTCCACTATTGTTTGAAATGCCAGTTTATGTGTTTTTCCTTCAAATGTATCCTTCCGTCTCTCTAGTCTTTTAAAGCCAAGCACATATTTTTTCATTTCCTCGTAGATTCAGTCCACATGAAATCTCACATTGACGTCAATTATTTTCTTAACCAAATGAAAGTTTTTGGCTGTTGCACCAAGGGATAAAAAGGAACACCCTTCTCCATCTTGTCTTAAGGTGCGCTGACCAAAGTGAAGGACTGTCCTGCGCAGGAGGGCGAGCTCCACGACCGCTGCAACATCATCTCGTGCGCCACGCTGGCCGAGATCCAGCACTTTCACCGCACGCGTGTACGAGACTTCCGAGCGCAGATGCAGCACCACCTCAGGCAGCAGATTGGCTTCTTCCAGAAAATCACATCCAAGCTGGAGGACGCGCTCCAGAGGTATGACAGCGAGCAGTAGGATATGAAAAGAATTTGGGAGTGGAAGGGGGAAAAAAACGCTTAAGTTGTAATAGACTGAAGAACAGACGAATGACTGATAAGTTGCAGTGTTGGAGTCCGTATCCTCAAAATACATTAAGGGCTTGAAATCATGAGTCCTGGACCATAATGAAAAACAAATATGACTGTGGACATGTGAGGAATAAGGGGGAAAAAAAACACTTAAGTTGTAATCGACTGGAGAACAGACGAATGACTGATAAGTTTCAGTGTTGGAGTCCGCATCTTCAAAATACATGTAAGGGCTTGAAATCATGAGTCCTGGACCACAATGAAAAACAAATATGACTGTGGACATGTGAGGAACAAGAACGGGGCAAGGATTTTTTTTTTTTCTTGGATGATCCACATGCATTTGAAAACTCAGCGGGATTTGCAATGTTTTTACGGTGGCGGCTGCAAGCGCTCGGCTGCCATCTGCATTATCATTTAAACTGGATATTTTAAAGGGAAAACCACCCCCAAAATTTTCTTCACAGTGGTATGTTCTCTGCACTTCCACCCATCTGCATGTAACTTATTATTGTAAGGAAAATTTGGGGCTTGGCTTCCCCTTTAAGCATGAAAAGACGAAATCATTTTACTTTATATGGAGTGCAAAGGTGAACGTACTGCAGGACGCCATTTCCATGAAACTTTGTGGAGGAAATGGCACGTTGATTATCCAGGCAGATATTTTCTGCTTCCACGGACCAATAAGTAGCCCGACTAAGATGGAGAAATATAAAAGTGTCACTCCATGATTTTTGTTTTTGTATCTTTTCGTTGTTGATGTTTGAGTCATTATGCAATGGTAAGATGCTTCACATATACCATCCTTCTTGAACCATAAAAAAAAATAACAAAAAACGTTATGTTGGAAATCACCTATACCCGCTGCTGTGGTGGTGTTGTGATTTCATGTCTTGACTTTTGCGCAGGAAGTCTGGGTTCAATTCCCCCTTCAGCTTCCCGCAACCTTGAACTGGATAAATGCTAGTGAGAATAAATGGATGGATGGAAATCATGTCAAGTGATCTGCCATCATTCAAATCTCTGTTGCATAACATCGCCGTTCAATGAAAAAAAATGCATTTGGCATATTTTTCAGAAAAAAAAGACATTTTGGAGATGTGCCATTGGCCAGTGATATCATATTACTTCCTTTGACTGAAACAAAGCATGCTGAGACTGACTGCCTGTTTGAGAAAGCTGATAAACTGCAAGGTTGAGGTCGAATGATATTTGTCTTTTACTCACACCAGTAAGGTCGGGGTGGCAAGAGTATTAAAGAAAGTTTGAAACCACGTCTGCCATTTTGTTTCAACTTTATACTGCAAGTTGTTTGAGAAAGCTGATAAACTGTGCGAGGTTGAGGTCGAATGATATTATTTGTCTTTTACTCACACCAGTAAGGTCAGGGTGGCAAGAGTGTAAAAGAAAGTTTGAAAACACGTCTGCCATTTTGTTTCAACTTTATACTGCAAGCTTCCAGTCAAACATTCAGTGTGTTCTTCTAAATAACTGATACCATTGTTGATGCCTCTGACATTCTTTCCGTTGGACGCTGTATTGACATTTCAGGTTTGTTTTACCGTGCCTGTTCATGCCTCTTCATCCTCTGTGCTTCCTTTTGATTTTCCTGCGCTGAACAATAAACTGTTCTTTCATCAGGCTATTGCTGATGCGCTTATTTTTTTTCTCCCGTAGATATTTATAATGTCTGGCTTCTGAGATGGAATTTTGTTTCTGACTAATTTAAAATATTTACACAAGCAAACAGAGGCTTGTCAGGACAAAAATACATTTGTCAAATGTATCTGTAACATATGAATACTTTTTGGCAGCCCTAGTAAATGGTAAATTACAAAACTGTCCTGTATTTATACGCAGAAAAAACGTTTCTGTTAACTTCCAATTTTAGAGCGAGATAATGGAAATGGCGTGGAATATAAATTAAGATGCAAAATCTGTTTACTTCCTTCTCAGTGGGTGGCTATTTTGACGCTTGCTGTCGACTGAAAATGACATCACAGTTACACTGTGCTCAAAAAATGACCAATCACGCTTCACCTTTTTTCTGAGTTTGGAGGCTTGTCAAGACAAAAATATATTTGTCAAATGTATCTGTAACATATGAATGCTGTTTGACAGCCCTAGTAAATGGTAAATTACAAAACTGTATTTAACCGCAGAAAAAGCGTTTCTGTTAACTTCCAATTTTAGAGCGAGATAATGGAAATGGCGTGGAATATAAATTAAGATGCAAAATCTGTTTACTTCCTTCTCAGTGGGTGGCTATTTTGACACTTGCTGTCGCCTGAAAATGACATCACAGTTGCCCTTGGCTCAAGTAATGACCAATCACGCTTCACCTTTTTTCTGAGTTTGGTCATGTGACATTCACAAACAATACCGTACTTAGACAAGTGGGGGTGCATCAAACACATTATTGTCAAGCAATCTTTTTTTTTAACCCTTTAATGCAAATAGCAACCGCTGTAAAGCACATTGAGCTGCCTTGTGTAAGAAATAAATCAGATTTGCCTTGATCACCCCGCCCTGCTCTCAACTACAGGGTGTGCTCATGTAAGTGTGCCAGAGCAAATGTGCGTCTTCCCATAAAGAAATGGAAAGCATCCACCGTATTTTTACTAGTGGAGACAGTGCTTCACCACCAAAACGCTAAAATTAAACTAGTCAATTCGTGTGCAGCTCTACGTGTGCACATACACATTGCCAAACACAAACACTCCCCTGTGACATCACATCGTGGCCAAAATTTAAATGTCTTGCTAAAAGACACGTTTCCTGGCATCGTCAGCTCACAAAAAATGACTTCGTTGAGTAATTTCACACTTGATTGGGCAGACGCTGCAGAGACACAAGCAAGTAAAAACTGTTTTCCATCGTCCCATTTGAATATCATTTTAAAGTTAACAATCGCTACAGTGTGCATAACGCTCGCCACCATCTCAAGAGTGGATATTTTATTCACTTTTTTCAGCGGTCCTACCTTGAATGGGACCCTGCTGTCTTCACATCTGCACCCTGTGATCTTTTCTTCTTCTCATTTGCTTTTAAAATTGCCTACCTGGTGGCTATGACACACCCCCGCCCCTCCATTTCCCCGTAACTTATACTTACCTTGATTTACGAAGACCTCCAACAACACTCGGCAGCTCTGTTACGTATCTCCACAAGGGGGCGCAATTTCCCCATACTAACACCAGTGATTGTCATGTCAAAGCATTACAAAAACAGAAAAACATTTCACATAGCATTTTTTATTTTTATGATTGGAAAATTTGAGGCACATTGGCACCGAGCAATGCCGTCCACTTGGGCGACGCTTAATGCGCCGTTCAGAAATCACGATTGTGTTTCCCAATACTTTATTCTATGTTTGGAAACAGGCTAAACGCCCTGCAGGTTTTACAAACTATATAGAGTCGAATGGAAACTGATTAAATATTCATGTTCTTTGAAGAGCTCAAGAAAAAAAAGAGCATAGACTCATTGGATATAAAATGAGCATGTACATTTTTATTTCCAAAAAAAAGAAATCACTGGACTTTATTCCATGTTTGGAAACAGGCTAAACGCCCTGTAGGTTTTACAAACTCTATAGAGTCGAATGGAAACTGATAAAATATTCATGTTCTTTGAAGAGCTGAAGAAAAAAAAAGAGCATAGACTCATTGGATATAAAATCAGCATGTACATTTTTATTTCCAAAAAAAAGAAATCAGTTATAGTGTATGGTAACAGACGTGAGCATTAAATGAGGAAAGAACGTTAACATTTCAACGTGCATTGATAAAAAAAAAAAAAAAAACATTGAATTAGCAAGGGAGGTCAACATGAGAGCTTGTCAAACAGTAGTTACAGTACAACCAAAAAGCTTTGCAGAAAGTAAATTTAGGTGAGAAAAAAAATAAAGTTAGGATTTACATCATTTCATATTATTAGGACGATTATGGCTCAAAAATAAGCGATGTATAGGATGTATTTAATCTGGATATATTCTACTGGGGTGGCACAGTGGGCAACTGGTTAGCACGTCGGCCTCACAGTACATAGGTGCAGGGTTGGCTCCGGCCTTCCAGTGTGGAGTTTGCATGTTCTCCTCATGCCTGTGTGGGTTTTCTCCGAGTACTCCGGTTTCCTCCCACATTCCAAAAACATGCATGGCGGGTTTATGGAACACATTAAATTGTCCCTAGGTGTGAGTGTGAGTGCGGTTGGTTGTTCATCTTCGTTGACCGTTGTGAGAATAAACGGATTAGAAAATGGATGGATGGATATTTCTAAACTGACCCTCGATAGGATAACCTGTTCAGATGGACAAACCAATACAACAAAACAAATACAATATACAATTAAAATATGCTCAAGAACAAATACAAACTGAATATTTTGTTTATTATTGCGGTTGTAGTGTGCAACTGTGGTTAACTGCACCGCATCATACTGAGAGCTGTTTGTAAGATTTGGGCTACATGGCATGAGAGGAAAATTAATGTTTTTAAAGCAAACAGAATGAATACACATCTTGAAAACATGCATAAATTACATGTGTCTTATTCAATACTGCAAAGTGTACACCTCGAAGGCACAGTTTGTTTTGATTCCCAGTAACCTGTTGCTTCATATTCCACAGGGGATGGGGATGGAGCACTGCCACGAATAGTAAATTGACACTTTCCCAACAAAGGATTGTAATTGTTGATCGGGCCCACAAGATGATGGGGATCACTACTTTTCTATTCAACAGTGCTTTGGCCTGACAATGAAGCTCCTCCTCTTACTTAGTTCTTTGGCAGCAAGAAGTCATTATGGCGCCAAAGTAGCACTGTACTTGTATATTAGACAAGTATTTGACCTGACCGCAGAAACAGCAAATAGGTGAGTTTTTAAGCTCAAGAGGAAATATTCCTCGCCAAATTCAGCAAATAAGGGAACACCATACTTCAATCAAACCCAATACTGGTCGTCTTTCAGCATTGGAGTGGGAGATTTAGACCTGCGAGAGGTCTTGAATTCTACAGAGATGAGCGGTAATGAATTTCTGCCAAAAACTCTCTCTCTTTCATTACTTTCACAACCTCTCATATTCTCATCACTGCTTGTAGCTTCAGCATCAAATGGCCCCCAGAAGGTCATGCCAGGGGCCAGACTCCGCCTCCTGGGGCCTTCTGGTACCCGAGGTGAGGCGGGACAACTGGCAGCACCAAGCGGGGTGACCACCACGGACGGCACGGCCACGCTTTGCTCCGGCCGGCCCAAGTATGGGCTACCCTCGGTGGGTAAGTGCAACGCGGCCAGCTCCTGAAGAAGACGCATCCTGGCCTGCTTTTCCTTTCTGTGTCGAAACACCAGAATTAACACCACGAGGATGACGATGAGGAACAAACAGGCCAGCAGCGGCAGGATGATGAGTAGAGGGTCTGAGGCGGGTCGAGGGAGGACCTCCACGTGAACGGGACGGGTGTCAGGAGGCTTTGCTGGACCGTGTTCTGGCTCGGAGGGAGGGCGAGTCTGCGCTGGGGATCCGCGTCGCCACATTGGTTCATCCACATCACTCCCTGACCGGCTGCCATGACTCCCACCCCGCTTGTGATTTGCTGTGCGGTGGTGAAGTCTCTGTCTATGGTGTGTCTTATTGTGGTTCTTGGGTGTCAGTATGTGAGGGTGTAAATCCACTTCTGCCCTGCCGGATGTCGGGGCTCCCTTCCCCGCCCCTCCTATACCTCCTGCTGTGGTGGTCTTGTTCCGTGTGGGCAGGCGCGTCATCTTATGTTCACTCCTCACACCGTCCGCTTTTTTCGAGCTAGGCAGGCCATGACGCATTTGGTGGTGGGGTAAAATGGTGAAGTGAAGCTCACCTTTGGCCGGCTGGACGTTTCCCGCTTTCAACATGAAGACGAATGAATCATTGAGAGGCGTGGCAGGGGCGTGGCCTCGAGACGTCACGAGCACGGATTTGTTCTTCGGGAGTGGACCGTCGTTGTCGCTCAGTGTCTCCTCAATGGCAACTCGTCCTTGAACCACGTCACGGAACGTAAACGACTTTAGGACTTCTGGGGCTCCGTTGGGGTCATATGACATCTGCGTACATGCAGGCACAGCAAAGATAGTGGCTTTTATGACAGGCTGGGACCAGTTCAGGGTTATTTTATGTGCAAATCTTGGGTGTTTAATTAATGTTCCTTGCCAAAATCCATACCAAAATTAGAAATGTAATATCTGGGGCGGCCCAGTGGTCCAGTGGTGAGTGTGTCGACCTCACAGTGCAGAGGTACCGGGTTCAATTCCAGCTCCTGCCTCCTTGTGTGGAGTTTGCATGTTCTCCCCAGGCCTGTGTGGGTTTTCTCCGGGTACTCCGGTTTCCTCCCACATTCCAAAAACATGCATGGCAGGCTGATTGAACACTACAAATTGTCCCTCGGTGTGAGCGTGAGTGCGAATGGATCGTTCGTCTATGTGTGGCCTGCGATTGGCTGGCAAACGGTTCAGGGTTTCCCCCGCCTACTGCCCGAACACAGCTGGGAATAGGCTCCAGCACCCCCGCGACCCTCGTGAGGATAAGCGGATCGGAAAATGAATGAATGAATGAATACTAAGTGGTGCAAGTATGCAAAGTGACAACAATATGCTCAGAAGAAGCCATACCTTAACTAGTTTCCCATGTTTCGGTGGGGACAGAACCTCGAAGACCGGATTGACTCTGCTGATTCTCGCCAGTTCGGAAGCATCCATCATGGATTTCCCCAGTTTCACAGCAATGCCACTGGGGACTCTCACTGGTTCTCGCAGATAGATGAGAGGTCGCACTACTACCCTCACCGTCTGGGCACTCACGTTTCCATACTCGACACCCGGCGCCGAGGCCGACACGGAGATCTGAAAGCTGTCCTCCGACTCGCTAAGATCAGTCATGTGATAGACAACGCGGCCATATTGGAGATCCTCATGGAAGAAGGTCATGACTTCCTGGTCGTTGATTGCGATGCGTCCGTGACGAGGGTGTGCGGTGACCGTATAGGTGATGTTGGCTTCGGTGCGACTGTTTGTTTGAGCAGCCAGCTGGTCGGTCGTCAGGATCACTGCGGTCCTGCCTTGAACCAGTGATAGGCCGGTGTTGTTCACAATGGAAACGGAGGGCTTAATCACCTCCAAACTGAACAGTTTGTAGAGTGGACGATGATGCCCATCAGTGACGTTAAAGTAGAAAACTCCAGTTGATGGCTCACCCTGGTGAAAGCAAGCCAAAAAAAAAAAAGACAGAAGAAAATCAATTAAAAGCAAGGATAGAAGCATTACGTTCAATGGGACATATGAAAAATGAAGTTTTTAATTTGGATGCAAAAAGTTAGGTCACTGTAAAGCAGGGGTGTCAAACTCATTTTTGTCGTGGGCCACATTGTAGTTCGCGTTTCCTTCGGGGGCCATTCTGACTGAAGTTCAGTGTGAAGTCAAATAAATGTATGGTTGTCTCAGATTACAAATGCGCAACAAATCAATGAAGGAGTAGTTTTGAAATCAGGGACCAGTAATAATGTTAAATTCATTTTAAAATGTATTTTAAAAGAGGGATTAAAAGCATTGTAAGTGAAGACCATTTACATTGTTGATATTTAGCAAGAAACATGACGTTTGATGCACATCAATTGCTTCGGCGGGCCACATAGAATGATTTGGCGGGCCAGATCTGCCCCCCGGGCCTTGAGTTTGACACCTGTGCTGTAAAGGGATGCCCAAGCAGAAATAATTTCAATTTTCCTCTTTTTTTTAAAAAAATGTGTTCATGTGGAAGCCGTTCTGCACTTCTGTCCAAGTGTTACGTAACAGTGTGAGTCTATCTTACGAAATAACTGCCCCCACACAGTTTCTGAACCCATGGCTTGGAAGATAATCCTGGTGAAGCTTTTGAGCCATTTTCAGAGTGAAGTATTTTGATAAAAGCATTTTACAGACATTTGTCAAAACACCTGGAGACTGTGTTTTTGAAGAAAACAATATTGACTTTCTTATGCACATACAGTATATGGGCAATTAAGATGGAAAGTTTACTTTTTTTTTTTTTTTACCTGCTGTATAAAATGCAGCCGGCCGCGGTTGACATCATACTGCGTAAAAGACGTTACAGGTTCCGGTCTTTCGCCCAGTGTCAGGTAGCCGTTGTTGGGCTCGCTGATCACAAGGTAATGCAGCTCCTCTGGAGGGGTGTCATGATCTTCAACCTATTGTTGAAGAAGAAAAAAATATACAGCGAGTGCAACTCATTTTATTTTGTATCAAACATCGCAAAAGTGAGCCCACCTGCAAACTCTCTGGTCCAAGAACTACTCTTTCCCCAACTACAACTTTCATACTCGGGGATCTGTTCCTAAGCAATGGCGGCTGGTCATTGACCGGCGTTACTGTGATGTTAAAAGTCTCCATCACAGTCAGGCTGTCCTTGACGTGGTCAGGAGGCAGCAAGTCGACCGGCGAAAGGGAGGACGAGGCCGAATAGAATGGCAACGAGGAGGAATCCGAGGGAAAAGCGGACAAGTGAGATGGAGATAAAGACAAGGAGGCATCCAGAGGGGCCACCCAGGCCTGAAAAGTGAAGCTGTCACTCGTGGTCTCGGAGTCATCGTGGATGTATGCGATGCCAGACTTGTTCAGAGTGATCTGAGAGAAATCCGGTTGGTCTCTGAAAGGAAAAAAAAAATGTAGACACCGGAACTCCGGTACACAAATGAAACAGATGCCTTCAAACTGAGGAAGGAAGGAAATAAGGAACCTGGTGAGATTGCGTCCTTGGATTGACAAAGCTCCGTGTTGTGGCAGGGAAATAACACGGTAAACGACCTGATGGCTTTTCTGGAGGGGCTTGGGCACTTTCTCCAGGAGATTAGAGGCATCCAGTTTCGATTGGTCAATTGTAACCCTGCCACCTTCTGACACCACAGCACCTGAGAGACACGCTAAAGTTAAATGTCATTTAAATGAAAAGATTTGTCTTTGAATCCAGTTACTGTCATACTGGTTTTTAATTTGATTGTTTTTTATATTCATGGCTTAGAAGTGGTTTTCATACAAATATTTGTCATATAAATTCATGTTGATAAACAATTATATTAGGAGTTCAGTAACACTGGACAAAGGCATTTAAAAAAAAAAATCAGAGATGGCTTTATGTGTCCCTAAACATATTTTTGCACTTATTTAAAAAATGTCTTTCCTTTTTTTTTTTCTCGTGTGTCAGGTTTTTGAGATATTTTCAGGTTTTGTTTATGTTTGAGCCAAACAGATTTGACCACCCGTTATAATTTACAGCAATGACGTTTGAGAGAAAATCCATCTTGTTATTGTTGTTGTTATTAAAAAACCTAATGTGCTAGATTAAAAAAAAAAGAAAAACAAGAGAGCAGATTAGGAATCAGCGCAAAAAAAAAAAAAACAAGAAAAGTATACTTGCAATTGAGTACAAAGTTGTTGGTCAGAGTAACTAGTGGCTATTTCTGACAGCGTTTACCTGCATTGTTGGAGAGTCTGGTATCATGGTGATTGTGACGGTTGTTTGCTTGGTAGGAGATCAAGATTGTGAAGGTGGTTGGTGGGAGGGAGGCAGGAGGAGAAGACACAGTGAAAGAAAATGTGTCCGCAGCCAACCATCCCGCTGAATCTGGCTTGTTCTGATCATACAATATAACCCCCGAATTCACCTGAAGCATGAAATGACAACTTGAATTTACCAGATTGACACATTAAAATGAAACCTTGTTCCAGATTCAAATTCATGAACGGTGACCACCATGCTCTGTGTGAATCTCGAAATGTTCTGAGTAGAGTTGTCAGGCATGTGACGGAGCAAGCGGCCATGTTTCGGAGGAACAGTCACTGTAAACTCCACGGTGTGTTTTTTTGCGACATCAATTGAGTCGTTGGTCACCACTTGAAGCTCTTGCTGAGAAATCGGGGTCACTGAACCTGTGAAATGAAAAAAATAAAATAAAAGACAGTGAGTTTCAGACAAAAGTAATAAAGAAAATGTAAACACGATTCAATAGGATATAGCACTCTCGGCAGATTGAGAACTAACATCAATTCATTCTTTGACTTCAGCGGCCTCAAATTCTTCTATTGAGTTGTTACTTAAAATAGGTTGAAAAACCTGAAGAAGTTTGGCCTCCCTGTGTGGAGTTTGCATGTTCTCCCCGGGCCTGCGTGGGTTTTCTGCGGGTACTCCGGTTTCCTCCCACATTCCAAAAACATGCATGGCAGGCTGATTGAACACTCCAAATTGTCCCTAGGTGTGAGAGTGAGTGCGGATGGTTGTTGGTCTGTGTGTGCCCTGCGATTGGCTGGCAACCGGTTCAGGGTGTCCCCCGCTTACTGCCCGAAGACGGCTGCTATAGGCTCCAGCACCCCCCGCGACCCTTGTGAGGATAAGCGGATCGGAAAATGGATGGATGGATGGATGGATGGATGGGTAAACCATGATTCAGAGAACTTTACATTGATCTGTAAATACAATGAAGAGTCGAATCTCCCAAATGTCATCTTTTGTCACTCGAACAGGCTCAAGTCCTCTTTCCCCCATCGTAAGATATTTCAAATGTTGTATTGTAATCAAGAGTTGATATACCTGGGTACACCTCAAGTGGGCGGTTCCTTTCGAGCATAAGCACGAGAGAATGAGCCGTAGTGCTGAAGATCTGGCGAGGGGCAAAATTCACTCCATCATTAACTTGGAAGTGGAAACCTCCGGACAAAGCACCTAAAATCAGCAAGAAAAGAGAGCGCCGCAGCATCACGACAAGAAATTTAGTTGAGACATCCGTTGAATTTTTGGGGGTCTCACCACTGTGCACAAAGACCAGCTGGCCATTTTCAATATGACTCTGCGTGAAGTTCAGGATGTGTTTGGAGGGGAAACTCCTTAGAGTGAGGTAGCCATTACTGGGTGGTGTGACGATGAACTCGAGCAACTTGGGCGGAGTGTCGGCATCCTCCGCGCTTAGATCGTCCACGGAGATTTCTGTCACAGAACCCACCCAAACCTGGGAATAAAAATATGTGGATTTACAAGGAGAAATCATTTGGGATGTATGGTGGAATACTGTGAACCATGTTCGGTGTTCCCATTTGATCAGTTCTGCTTTCAATTGTTTCCATTCTCGCTTCGACCACATTCCGATTTGGACTGGCTTATCCTTGGTGAACTCGTGATTGTGTATGAACAGAAAGAAAAAAAAAACATTCTCCAATGAAAGCAAATAACACGTTGAAAAGAGTTTATACCAAGAAGCTTTGTCCCGATTGTGTCTGGGTTCAAGTTTCTTGTTGGAGTCACATAAAGAATTTGGGTTCATCAGGACGTATATTGGGCAGGATCTCATACTCCTTGAAAAGTAGATTTTTTTTGTGGTTGTTACAGTACATCTTACCTTCAGACCTTGGTTCCTTGTAACAACAGGTGTCTCATCATTGACAGGCATGACATTGATATGGACAACGCAGGGAAGACTGTGCTTCTGGTTCTCTGTCTGGTTCGCCATGATGGTGAAGTTGTCTCTCACTGTGTCAGTGCCATCGTGGATATAGGAAATGTACTCACGTTCCACCTGGAAAATCCAAATTGGTGATGTTGGACAAAAATAACCCTAAAACGGGTTACATGGATAATCTGTCCGAATGGAAGGATCGCTCTTCCATTTGAACAAAAGGCCCGATTATCGGATGTCTCTAAAACATTGGTTCTTAACCTGGGTTCGATCGAACCCCAGGGGTTCAGTGAATCAGTCTCAGGGGTTCGACGAAGCCTCTGCCAAGGAGGTTAAGACACACCCGACTCAAAGGGTTTGGTGGATGCGCATATGAGCCGGTTGGGTTCGGTGCCTCGAATAAGGTTAAGAACCACTGCTTGAAAAGATTATCTTGATTAGTTAGGCAGTGGTGTAGGCTATGTTAAGAGTCATTTCTCCTTCCTGATCTGTTCATAAAACAGTTACCAACAATTGTCAGTGTCGAACATGTTCAATATTTGCGATTGCTACATTTACAATAAATCTTTATGTGCCTAGTCAACACCAAGTGTCTTCGATTCCGTCTTGTACTTCTATTTTCTACCAATGCACAGGACACTGAGAGTGGTAAGAACACAAGTGTCGATAGTCTCTAACAAATTTTTAATTTCAATTAAGCACAAACCCCATTTAAATGAAACGAGATGGATTGTAAATGTTCGACTTAGAGGAGAATTGCGCTTACCTCAGTGTGCGTGAATGCAGTGATGGGCATTCCTGGGATCCGAATGTGCTCCAAGTGACCGTGTCGTGGAGGAACAATAATCTGATAGAGGAAATTCATCACTGAGAAGTGATGACTGTCTACCATGATGATGTCAGGCGTCAGCGGCAGGGACGACCCCTCATCCAAGGTCAGGTCAGACACCTACAGAATTAAACATGACTTGAGTATTATGCCGTTGCTTGGTCAAGCCCTGACGCATCTTCCATTTTGTATAACTGTTACCTTTAGTGGCAGCAGTCTGGGAATAATATCAATTTCCAGTCTAATGGGTCCAACCTTGGTTAGCCCATTGGTGGCCTCCAACAGAACAGAGTCATTGCTGCTGCTTCCCGTAGCCCTCTGCCGGTAGATAACCAAACCCTTGTTGATGTCCTCCTGGGTGAAAGAGGTTGTTGGCTGCCATCTGAATGCCTGATTTACAGGAGAACAAGTCAAATTAGAGAGCTTTAACTCACCAATCTCATTGTCTGATGGAAGATGGTGAAGTCAAACTTTAAGCGCCTACGGAGCGTCAAATTTAAAACAAGCTTTGTTAGTAGCTGTTGAGAAGAGCAGATATCGGGTTTTGTTCCACTTCTGTCTAAAGCTTTGATTAAGGTTAGTTAAGGTTCATAATTATGCGCACCTGGAAGAGATGCTGCCGTCCACCATTTTTTGCCCGACGCTTTTTCTCAGGGGAAAACCTTTCGATGAAGCCGAGGGTTGGAGGATTTTGGATGGTGAAGATTATCTCTGAAGGCTGGCTGTCCTCATGGAACACCTGAAGGTAAATAGTTAATCTGAAAAATAAGTTTTCTTGTCATTCCAAGACCCACTCATTTACCTCTAAATTGCCCTTGTTTAAGGAAACATTGTGTCCCTCCGCAACCACCACTGGATGATTGTTGAGGACTGTTGGTGGCCTCTGATGACTTTCGAGGTAGATTTTTATCTGAACTCCAATGTCCAGATGGACCTCCCTCCGCCAATCATCCGACCTTCCATCTCCGCTTTTCTCCCTTGCTCTTGCAGTGATATTAAAACCATCGGCTGACTCATGGCTGCCATCATGGTGATATACCAAGAACTTCATCTCCAGATCTTCCTGGCTGAATGATGAAACGGCACCTGGCACTGCTGCAGCTTCGCCATCCTTAAAATGGAGAACTCCATGTTTGGGTGGAAGGAAGACCTCAAACGTGATTTGCTGCGGATCTCGGATGTCCAGGTTGCTGGAAACGCTGAGGTTATATGAGGTAAGAGTTGTTATGCCGCCCTGCTGGACCATGAGACCTGTGTTGTTCTGGACTTCAAGGTAAGGATCCTGCGCCTTCACCTGCATCAGGGAAGGATATTTTTTGTACAAATAAATAATATACCTAACTTGGGGGTTTATAGATCACCAATTGTCAGAATAAAATGTTATGTCTGATTTAACAGATCTATATCGCCATAGAAACAATTTTTGGGGCGGGGGGGTCTTGATGCTTTTTCATTGTAACTCATGTGGACCATGTTCTTCACGTTATGGCAGCATATTTACGTTGGTAAATACAGGACAGTGGGTGATTCATATGACTGATTTGGGTCTTGAGCTTAAAAAAATAAAAACACTTTACCTCCATTAAGGTAGAAACATAATGTTTCCCATCTGACACAAAAAAGACGAAACGACCAAAGCTGACTCCACTGTGTACAAACAGCACATTTTTCTGTGGGATCAAAAGAAAAAAAAATGACACAGGTGAGCGTTAAAACACACACACGCGCGCACACACACGCGCACACACCCGCACACACACGCGCGCACACACACGCACACACACACACAGAGTTTAGAAAATCTTTACGTCGGTAAGTATCCATATACTGTAATCAACAATATTCAAATAACCTGCTTGAGATCTCGCTGTGTGAACTCGTAGAGTTTGTGATTGGGTGCACCGGCCAAGACCAGCTCCCCCATCGGAATCCCCCTCCGAGTGTACACCAACCAGTCATCCTCAAAGTCCGAGTCATCGTCCCGGTAACAAAGGTCATTCAAAGTCACCAATCTCTGGCCATCTCGGGCCACATGGAAAACTTTATCAACAACCCTGACAGGTCGCTGATCATTGACGAGTTGGATGGAGACGTTTACGGTGTGTTCCACTGTGTTTCTTTCCTCCTTTCTGCCGTTGAGTCTGGTTGTTTTGTAAACCACAATTTGAAAAGCGAAGGAATCCTGCTTGGTCTCGCTGTCATCATGAACATACATCACCTTTTCCTCAATGATATCCTGATTGGTGAAAGCTAGAATTTTGTTGTCAATGGAGGTTAAGTTGGAGAGGTTGGTCCTTCTTATTTGGCCGTGCCTTGGATGCGCCGTAATGCTATAGTGGACCTCGCGGTTACTCACTGTGTTAATGAAGAGAATACTTTTCGTAATGACTTTACTTCCACCTTCCACGACTGAAAGGCCTTTATTTACGATGGTGAAGTCAGTTGACTCGGCTCTGATGTGAATTCTGAAGTCATGGCTTGTTGAGTTGGCCAGCGTGGAAAATGCCTGAAAGCTACAAATGTCTCTCGTGTCATTGAGCAGCTTCGCGAACAATTCATACGTCACTAAGCCATCTGTGATATTCTTCTGGCTGAAAGTCGAGTCCTTTTTTAGAACTTTATCAATGAGAAATAGCTGCCCTTTCTTGGGTTCTGTTAGAAGTCTGAAATAGAGGTCACTCTCATTCAGTTTGACACCCTTGGTGATCACATGAAAGTCTTCGGGAGTAACAACCGCTTTCAGTACACCGTTGACTTCCATCTTGCTTCTTGTGACCTTAAAATGAATCCATCGTATCACAATGGGAAACACAAGTTTCTCTGTTGCCAAAGAACCAATGCTGACTTTGCATCGGAATTGGTCCGTGATATTCTGAGTCTGGAGGCCACGGTAAGTACTGAGGTACCTGATTTGTTCTTTTTCTAAAAGTTTCTGAGAGAAGGATGTTGTTGTTTTCCATTCACCACTTGAGTGTAAATTTTGGATCTCCCCATATTGAGGCAGCTCTGTGATATTATACAGAATTTCCAAAGGCTGATCAGCAACATTAACTTGCACTGCAAGATGATTGATGGTGATGAGTGACGCTTCGCCCTGATTCATTTCCAGTCCGGTGTTGTTCACTAGCTTGTGCTCAAGCTCCACGGCAAGAATCCTCAAAACGACCGTGGTGCTGAACTGAAAAAGGACAGAAACAGAACAACCGTGAGGCACAATCAATTTGAAAAAGCATCCAATCTCAATGATTCGTTTTCTTTTAGTGATTACAACACTTACCTTCTGACCATCGCTGACCCTAAGTGCCATTCTGGAGGTCGAGACCCCAGTGTGGACAAAGCTAATTTTACCCTCTTCCAGATCATGCAGGGAGAAAACTTTAATAGCCCTGGAGGAACGATGCGATCATGTCACTCGATTTTTGTGCTAGACTGGCAATCCGGAAATGAAAAGCCGCACTAATCATCCAACCAACCTGCTGGGGTGATCTTTGTGTTCAAGATGTCCGGCCTCGTTGAAGTTTCCCATGGAGCTGAAGACCAAGTCAGCTTTACCGCTATCAGGGTCTGATACATTCAGCAAGTCTCTTGTTAGCTGGTGACATTGTCGAGGAACACTTCAGTCTTTCGAGTTTGGTCAAATCAACATGTCCTTTCAGGAATGAAAATTTTCGACATTTTATTTAATGTCCAGGAATTGATCCATAACTTACCTGCCTAGTGGTATTTTGAAGAAGAATAAAAACATTTCCCTGCGGCAGGCTAAGCATGGGCGCATCATTAACCGGACTGATGCTGATGTCAAATTGGTAGAGTTGATGTTGCCGCAGATGCACAGGAAGTTCCTTGTTGTGGCTTGAGAAGATGGAGAACAAAAAGTAGTCATGCAGAACCTCTGAGCCGCTGTGAACGTATATCACTCGGCCCAGCCAGAGGTCAAGCATGCTAAAAATCAGGTCTGTCTCCTTTCCCTGGACTGGGGCAGCTCCCCCTTTGAGATCTTCAGGACTGGGGTCAAGCTGCAGGTGGCCATGAACTGCCTGTTCCTCAACACGGAACATGAACTCAGATGGATGCAAGCCCAATTGTGCGAAATCCAAATTCACCTGGATGATTAGACAGATTATTTTACTGAATGGTAATATGATTAATATATTAGTGAAAGGCAGAAAAAGTTATCGGTAAGTACATTTATATGCTTGGGTTCCAATGGTGCCCAGCTTCCCTCTGCTACCTCGAGGCTTCTCAGAAACAGGACGTTGGAGTCATTTGTATCACTTATCTCTCGTGCCTTCAGAGTATCTAACTCAGCATAATGCCTTGCTCTGGTGTCAGACACGGTATCCGATGTTTGTCCCATCGCACAGCCTGCAGTGATGTCCCTGGAGATGCTCACATGAGGGAGGCCGGTTCTTTGAGCGTTGACTTTAATTTCTCGGAGGCAGCCTCTAAAAGAAACTCCGCGGCCAATCAGCTTTCCAAGTCCAGCTCGACTTGCGTCACTCCAGGTTTGGTCTTCTAATCCCCCCAGAAAGAGAGGCCCTCTGAGTTGCAGGAGGTGCAATGCTGGACTTAGACTGGCCTGTCGAAACTCTTCACCTATCTTAAGTTGTACGGCGTGGGGTAGTATGTGTAGTCGGATTGGATACCACGTGTGGTTGCCGTGGAGTTTTATATCCGAGTACAACTCGGTCTTACTCCCCTCTCCAGTTCCAACTACTGCGACCAGGTGCCCACCTCTTATCTCTAATACAACACCTCCCTGAAGAGCAGCACTATACAGAACTAAACCGTCATCTTCGTTCCCAGACGGGTGCAGCTCACATTCAAATACAACTTCCTGTTCGGACTCCCATGGTGGCAGAGAGATGAATGCTTTGGAGCTGAAAAAGTGGACGGCATCGTGTTCTGTTGCAGAAAACAGATGACTGCACCCCAGAGACACCTCATGGACGCTTTCATAGTTGGCATAAGGCCTCAAACTGGACAGAAGATTGAGTTCATTGAAAACAGCTTCATCTAAGCAACCTCTAAATCCACTGGACACGTTAACAATTTGAGGATGATTGAGTCCCAGTGCACCGCCGACAAAAAGGGTGTCCACACTGAGCTCCACATCTGTTCCTGGCATGTGGACTCTCGTGTGAGAACTTCTGTCCACGGTCATTGAGACACGATGATGGTTGTGAGTGACGTCGACAGAGTGCCACATCAGATCACTGAGGCTGGCGCCCCTTTCTGAGCGCAGGGATCGCTCACCTGAGCCGAGGTCAACGCGTACCTTAAGGGAACAGTGGTGGGAAAAAGGACTGTCAGTGAGAGAGAGAGAGGAGACATTGTCTAAACTGATTTTGGCTCGAGACAAGTAATGTCACTTGACACATGTACAGTAAAACTACAGTGTGACTGGACATCATATGACGAGTTATTGAGTTTAAACACATCCGAGCACCTCACGTACTTTGTATCAAACATTTATAGCGCTCATTAGGTTGAATTGGAACCCAGAACCTCTTTACTGTGAGGTCGACATGCTACCCACAACACCAGGGCGCTGCCCATACACTTATCACAAAATGCTGGAGAGGTTGTGTTTTCATCGCAATTCATTGAAAGGATTATGCAAAAAGTATATTGAATGATTTCGATGTGGGATGTTGCATGGAGGAACCCAATACATTTTCTTCAGAGAGGAGTTTTTTTTCCTCACATTTGTTGACATTGATGCATTTTCCAATATTGTACTTGGAAAGAAAAAGAATGCATGCCTCTATCCATTTACAATGCCCCTTAACCTGTTCAGGATGACAGGGAGCGGGAGAATGTTCCAAATGACTTTGGGCAATAGGCTGATTACACCCATGATCGTCTGTCACCGAGAGGGAATTGAACTCAACAAAATTGTTTGCGACATTGAATCATGCATAAATCGAGATTTGACATTTTTAGGGGGTTTTGCCCCCCCCCCACCCCGTTGCTCATAAGCAATCATGCTCTGGAAAAAAAAAAAAAGTGAGTGAAGCAGCAATCTTGCACCAGCTCACCTCTTCGCATAGCTTCAGGATAGTAAATGTCAACACAGAGTGTACGAATCAGAACCACAGTAAATCACCTGGAGGCATCCAGAGGTCAGTTCCAACAGCAAGAAGTCACTGGGCCCCGCCGCCAAAAACAATAGGCCTTGCTGACGAGAAGTTTTAAACTGGAGGCGGAGCGAGGTTTGAAAAGATGTTTCCACTGTCTGCAGACGGATGGAGCTGTTGCCATAGAAAGACACTGGAATGATGTGACAGATGGTTCAGTTACTGATTTTGAATTCATTGCAGTGTTTTTTTTTTGGGGCGGAGGGATTCATTTGTAAATGTACAGTAATGAAGAAGGTGCCTGCTGCTCCAGTTACACACATAAATGAATAAGGCTCAGGCCAACACACCATTGTTAGTTATTTGAGTACCAAGTAATTAAAAACAAAAAACTGTGCTAATGCCCTGTGTCGACTGCTGACACCATCCTCTATTGACTGGCCTGTCAATGTCGTGTGTACTCTGCACTTTGTACCTGCAATCCAAATTCAATAACGGCAGCTAATGCACTCTGGTGTGGGCCATCCAAATATTTTCTGACGCTAATTAGGCTTCACTGTTGACCCAAATGAGAGGTTGGACCATTAGCAGACAGAGGTTGTGGCCTGAATTGGACTCATTAATAGGTTCTAAAGATGAGATGGAGAAGCAGACAGTTTAACTTGAACACTATATACAGTACACTAACAATATGTTCATTTTTGCACTTGCAGTGTAGAAATGCACTCCATCATATTGAGAGCTATTTCATGACTTTACCAAAATATTCGAAACATCTCAGTTTGATGCTGTGTCGTTTTCCATCACGGCATTGGACAACCCGAATAAAACAGAATGTTGTAACATTAACACGTTTTTAAAAAAACGAATGCAGTCTTGGATAAAATTAATTTTGACCCAAAGTGTGATCATCAGAGCGGAGCTGTCCATTAGACTTTGTGAACGCGGGTCAGGGAAGTGTGAGTGGCTTTAGATTTGGCTGAAATTAAATTCAATTAAAAATGTGTGGAGAAGCTCAGAAGGCAGAACTAAAACAGTTTAGTAAATGTTTCTCTTGCTTCTGGAAAATAAAATTCACATTCAGTCTCTATTTACTTTTATATTTCCATGGCTGACTTTACATCTATTCATCCTTATTCTCTACTGCTCGTCCTCACTATGGTTGTGGGTTACCTGGAGCCTTTCTCAACTGACTTTGAACAAGATGCATGATGAACTCATTGGTTGCCATGGCACAATTTTCTGTGATGCAAATATGCTAACCCGGTGGTGTTGAAAAAGCACCCTCCGTTCCTCATTTTGGGACGGAAAACCCTGATTTCTCCAGGCCAATCAGCAAATAAAAATAACGATATAAAAATGATTATCAGTAATGCAGGGAGCATATCAGAGACAAGCGTGCTTGTCATAAAGCTGATAAAACTCCTGTCTGTCTGTCTCTGGCTAATCTGCTTTTATGATATGGATTACCGTATTAGGAATGTACCAATGCACACGCACGCACAACTCCAGTGCATCCATGTTCTGGTTATGGTCCCAGTCGTAAAATGAATGGAAGCAGCATGGGCAACTTGTTCATTACGTGTTTAGGATTACAATGGCATTTGATGTTGTAGATGGACTGGAATCATAGGAATGTGAATTGCAAAAGGGCATTACAAATAAATAGCCACCACAAAATACAAGAAACATGCAATGTTTTCCATAATTTCACAATCCAAAACTTAGTAAAGGTCAGCCAGACATGACGCTTCCCTAACACTTTACCTGCATAAACTTGTCCTGTGGAAATTAGCAGGAGCAGAAGCAGCTGAGCCGCCATCCTTCCCATTGTTACTTGGGGCCCTTAAAAACACCCACTTAGTTTAAAATAAAAGTAACATGTTCCTTCTTTGTAGTGCAGTCCATCACTGATATCCTTGCATGTTATTTTCAGCAAGTGGCAGCCTCTTGTCAGTCTGATGGATTTGGATTACTGCCTGGGAGAAAAAAAAGTACCTGTGACTGAATGTCACCCTGCCACATAGATCCTCCTCCTGACAGCAGATGTAGTGCCACATATGACCACGTGGAGCGATGGTGATGGGTCGCACTCTGACATTCATCTTGTCTTATTAGTTGAAAGAGGTCCAAGGTTTCTTTTTTCATCAGACAATCGTCACTCGGCTGCCTTCTACGTCACCAATCAGACTTTTCTCCTCTCTCACAAGGCAACGTTGATGTACTGTATGAGGTTTTAGAATTAAAAATAAGTACATATGTGTACTGTTGGAATCTTTGTCTTAACATGCTGGTACCCACATACACGAGCAGGGGGGAGTCCTACCTCGCGGTTTTCACTTTTCACATTCTGGTCCACATTAACCGTGAAAAACGAGGGTATTGGTGATTTTATACACTTCCAATCATTCCAGTATCCATGTGTGCAACATTGACTTTCTTTTCTGAATAGATATTTTTATAAGTTCAATTTATATTGCATATCTACAAGGTTTAAAAAAAACATGTTACCGTTTGCTGACTTTTTCTGAAAATGAGTAACACTTACATCAAGCATACAAATCTGCAATTGGCCTGCAATGGATCAGTCCCACCCATTGATAACTGGGAGAGCCTCCAACCACCTCGCCATCCTGCCAAAGAACTGCGAGTATAAATAAAAACTCCCAGCATGCCTTTTTATTGTGATGAATAATTCTGTACACCAGCCACAACATTAGGTACACCTGCAAAATCTAACAAGAGCCCACCAGTGCATTATTCATTGAACAATATTTGAAGTTATAGATTTCTGTGGTGTAGATGTGCACTGCATCATCCTGAGAGTTTCATATTTTGGCTACCTTATGTGCAGTAGTTGCATGAAACAGTCAACGACGACACGATTGGAGCATTTTCTCTTGGGAAGGCAGCACATCATAAACAACGGCGTGTGTTTTTGGCGCATGCGCACCTCCCCGAACACAAATGCAGTTGGAGCGCGATTTGCAAGCGACCCATCTGCTTCTGCTTTTCTTGACGAGCAATGGTATGAGACACAAGCACTAGATGGCGCCAACCAGCTTGACAACAAGCAGCGGTTTGGCAGATAGTGAGCAAATCTTTAAAAAAGAGGCCAGGTAAGCACTTCATTTGTTGTTGTGGTTGGTGTTTTGCCACTTTCAAACTAAACAAAAAGTACACATCGTGTGTTTGTCTTAACTTTGCTTCATGAAAGTTTGCTCGCCTAATGCTAACATAATGGGACATGCCATAGACAGGCTAATAGAAACAGTTGCTTATCGTGAAGACAGACAATATAATAATACTCCCAGGAATACATATTTTTTATCCTATATTTTTTATTTTAACAACTTATACTGCACTTTGTGACAGTGTTCTGTTTCGTCAAATCTATATGTAGTATTTCTGTATGTGTTATACTGCCCCCTGTTGACGAAGGCACGCACACCAGACACAAAATTCCCATTGAATTAATACATGCAATTTGCTTCCAGACACATTGTGAAAGTCATAATATGACGAAAGATTTACTTGGTTGTTTAAGATCACTCTTGATTTGCGGGTAGGCACTCCAAAAAGCCAACTGTTCATTTACAAAAAAAAATAAAAATAAAAATAAAAAAGTTTCCATAATATACAATACAATACAATACATGCTGATTTATATAGCGCTTTCACAATGTTCTCTAACTGACTGATTACACCCATTCCAACACTGGGCACAAATGGTGCATCATCAGGAGTGAACGTATTGCATGATGGGACAAGTATTTACTTTTGTTAAGGTTGGGATGCAATGAGTTTGTAAAGAAGCAACATTTTTCATGTCACCTAATAGCGTTTGTTCAGCCTCTAACCGACATGAGGAAAATATACTGAACTTGCTGGAGGATTGAAATGGACCAAAAGTATTTGTACAAACCACAATAGCCAGTCGCTGATAAAGGGAAAGTGGAAAAGGGGAGCCCTCCAGCACCTGACCTATAAGTTGTTAAGTTTGGGCTTGAAGGAGTATGTCCCATTAAAAGCTCTGAAAGAACACTTTTCTTCTTCACATTCCGCTCAGCTCGCGCATGAGAGGAGAGCTTTTTTTTCACCACCTTCCAGCTTGAGTTCCCATGATGTTGAATAATAGAGTGTGCCGCCTGCTTTCTTAAACGGAGAGGTCACACCCAAAATGGGTCACAGTTCAGCCGGTGTGATGACGGGCACGCTAGTGTGTTTTAATGAGTGTGGCTCCCACACTGAGAGGATTAACGTCTTGTCCTTAAAGGCTGTAAAGACAACACACTAAAAACAATGGCTTTTCATTTCCATTTTCCCCTTTTCTGAATAAGCCTTTTCTCAGCATTGGAAACCCATTTGGAAGGGGAATTCTGAAGCGGCATGGCAATCATTTTGTTTTTTTAGCAATAAAAATAAATGAACAATCTTTTAAGAGGTGTTAAAAGGAGCAACTGCCTCATGTTGTCGGGTTTTTATTAAGTGCTATGAGATTTAACAGACGTGTCCTAATATTTGCCTTTTTGAAGGTTTGCTACTTTATCTGACTGACAATTACTTCCTGAATGGCGAACATAACTTTGCGTTTTACAATTTGAGGAAAGTCACTGTCGGCCTTTTCTCGATAGAAAAAGGTGGATACTTGCACTTATTTCTGCTTATCATGAATTCTGATTGATTGTTTGCTATTCAACGTCAAGCAGCATGTTGAAATGTTTTGGTGCATTGGCGCCAGCTGCGTCCAAAAACACAATCATAGCTTGTACCGAATACAGGAAGCACCAGGCTGAGGATGAGACCAAGCGGATGACGCACCAAGGCCTATTTTAATGCAGCAGCTAAACCAACAAAAAACAATGCACAGCTGGAAGGACAAAGCTGCTTGTTAAAGTGCTCGAAATACAAAGTGGACCTGGCTGCGAGGAACGGGGCAGTCGTCTGCCGCCCTCTTGGAGAAATAATGCACCGCTTCCTTTCCTCTTTACACTGGCCATCCTTCCTTCCTCATCTTTGAAGAGGGGGTCATTCGAGGACCCCACCGTTTCGAGTAGCTGCGCTCCTAAATGCGGAGTCAAGCATGCCACACGTAACCTTGCCCGCAAGTTGAATTCTCAGGGTATTTGTGAGTTCACAAAACCCAGAGAATCCCTCTTGTCCCGAACCTGCTGATTGTTCTCCCAGCAGCACCACTGGTGGGGTTGGGCCAGTCACAAAGCAACAGTGTATTTGGGGGCGAGATATGCGGCTATGACGAAAACAAGGAAGCGCCAAAGCCGGGCCAAACAAACACACCAAACATGGTGAAACCGGCGGGTGAATGCACGGACCCTGCGTACGTGCATAAAAGGGAATGTGAAATACAGTGGCTCATTGAGATACGATTTTCGTGCATTGTAACTCAAAATAGTTGTGTTTCATAAAATATTTTCCATTTGAAATGACCATAGATGCTATTAATCTGTTCCATCATCACCTTAAAAAACAATTATTTTAATCAAGGAAAATAGCAATCCTCAATAATGTATTTAAAAACAAAAATGCATGTCTTAGCAACAGGGCAACATAGCTACTGAGCTACATGCTATTGGTTGTTTTTCAAAGAGGATAAAGAAGATATGCCTATGACTATTATGATATTGTCTGTCTACATGTGTTGATGCCCTTTTTTTATGTTTAAATGTCCGTTGCATCATGCACTGAAATGCTGCCACATACATGCTAACTGTTAGCCTGTCGATGGTGTTTGGCATTGCTTTGTTTTTTTGTTTTTTTTTTAGCATTCAGCTTGAGGGATTTAAGACAAACCTATGTAGTTCTTTTAATGCTTGGTGGACTTACAACAAATTGTGTGGTTGTTTCAAATACACAAAGTTGAATTCTTTGTTTTACGTTTAGTTTGACCGTAACTTCAACTGGGAGTGGCATTAAAGAGCGTGAAGCCTTTTTTTTTTTTTGGAAGACGAAGAATTGTATCTGCCAAAACCTCTGCTTATTCTGAAGTGAGCTGAGTCCGCCGGCACCTTCTAGCACTCTCGTATTGTATCGGAAACGTCTTGGCAAAAATCGCATGGGATGGACACCAGACCCTAAAAAGGTAAAAGACTATAGAAAATGGATGACTGACGAAACCTTTAAAAGCCCACGCATTGACCCCTCTGACCAAACCTCCATACATTTTTTGCTGAGCTGCTAAAGAAAAAATAAACAACAACAAGAAAAAGCCCACCTGTGCAGCAGAAATGAATGAATCATTCTGCAAAGAGAGAAAAAAAAAACTAAAAACGTCATGGAATATGGATGAAATCATGCGTGGGCTCTTGTGTAAACCTTGGCCAGAGCATTTCCAGCATAAATACTGTAATTGAGTGACACAACGATTTTCTATTTATGAAGTGGTTGCATAAGAGCGGAAAGAAAGAAAAGGCCTATATTTCAGACGGGGGAAAAAAAGAGCAGAAGGAGGTCAGAAAGAGGTAGTTGAGTGAGCAGATAGATTCCTACAGTGTGCGCTTTGTTCAGCGTGTTTTTTTGCGTGCGTGAGGCGTCATGTTTGGGGGAACTTCTCAGATACTTGATATATTCCCCTCCTGCAACATAAAGCTTGAAGCATCTTGGAATTTTTTACCTGAAGGAAAACTTTCAGCTTTGGTTACTGAACGTCTTTCTGGGTGTACAGAATGTATCTTTTTTTTTTGCAGTTGCACACTAATAATATACAAGGAATGTGCTTTGTATATACGTCATTATCTCTGTTGTGCACGCCCACTCATAAAGTGTGAAAATAAATCACCAAGTAAATCTAGTCTTTGAGCTGAGCTTTCTGAATTTTGCCAAATTGTGACAACACAACTCAGCTCGTTTTCTTAAAAACCACACATTCACCCGTTTTTGTTTTGTCTGTCCATGACTTGGGTGAGATGGTGGGTATTCAGAGCCACTTTCAAGCGATTAACTGTCTGAAAGGCT